TAGGGAAAAGTTAATTGTTGGGAACAATAATCTAAGCAGCCATAAGTTTAAGTGATGTAAAGACAATATAGCAGGTAAGGAGGCTAAGGGGAGCCAGGTGTGCGAGTGCCATGCCGGTAGAGAGATGCCACAGAGAAACCGACAAGCTTATAGGAGGGATGAACAGGTGACATTCTGATGTTAGGATCATGATGTATAGTGGAGACTGCTGGCTAGTTACCAAAGACCCATTTCCTCAACATCCTGGGTACATAGACTTTTCCTGGTCACTGTTACAGTGAGGTGTGGCCATGTGACTGAGGTCCAGCCATGGAATGGGAACAGAAGTAATGTGTGCCCTGCCACCAAGTGTTCAAGGACCCCAAGGCCCTAGGGATAGTGGAGCCACAGATGGGAGGAGCCTGGGTCGCCAAATTGCCATTCAGTAGAAGAACATCTACTTCCGATCATGAGCAAGTAAGCTGGAGTGCAATGGCGTGATCTCAGCTCTCTACAACCTCTGCCTCCTAAGTTCAAGTGATTCTCCTGCCTCAGCCTCCCGAGTAGCTGGGACTAGAGGTGCCCACCACCATGCCTGGCTAATTTTTGTATCTTTAATAGACGAAGTTTCACCATGTTGGCCAGGCTGGTTTCAAACTCCTGGCCTCAAGTGATCTGTCCACATTGGCCTCTCAAAGTGATGGGATTACAGGAATGAGCCACCACACTTGGCTGAAAACAGGGATTTTATGTTCTTCGAAACCCACTGTTGTGACATCGTTGACCTAGGTGGACTCTTCTGGGAGAAAGACTTCCCAACATGGACAATGGTGTATATTGGCAAATATGAGTCATGAGGGGCTTCTTCAGGTGTATGGAAGAGAACTGTATAGGGGGAAAAAGAATGAAAAAGGAACTGAATCCTTTTATCTGAAAAGCCAACATAATTAGAGAGGTAATAACTGGAATAACCAACTGAGAGAGTGTTAAGAACTTTGAAACAACCAGGCCTTGTACTTGGAGGAATTCTCCAGAATGTCCTAGAGGTAGAGGCCCCTTTGGAGACGGCAGAGTGTGGAGGAGCATGGGAGAAGGGATGAGGGTCTTCCTTTTCTGACCATTGCTTCCTCCAAGAAAGCAGCATCAGATTCCACCCTACACTGATAAGTTTCAGAAACACCTGTCATTTCATTCAACAGAACGGCAGACCTGCCACCCTGCCATTTATCTGTTTTTGTGTGTTCAAGTCTTCCTGTTTTCTACACACCTCCCAATTATTTGCTGACAAAGGAATGAGTTGACGCTTTGCACTGTATTGTTTTTCATCTATTACTTCAACCTTGTTTTCATTTCAACCACAAAAGGAAGAACAGATGCTTCTTGATTGTAGGTGGCTTAGCTGTCTTTGGCTAATATTAAGAAACCTCAAGCAAGAAGTCTAAATACTGATCATTACTTTACTGAAATCCTCTGTATATTGAATGTTGCTTGACTTCAAACATCTCTGGAGTCTGAAAAGTATAGAGAAATGTGTCTTCATATTCTGCATACTTTTTATTATGAAAAATTTCAAACATACATGATACTAGAGAGATTTGTATAATGGATTCCCATGTATATGTTACTGGCTACAACAAATACCAACATAAGGCCAACCCTGTTTCATCTGCATCTCCTTCCCCATTGAATTATTTCAAAGCAATCCTAGATATCATCTCATTTAATCTGTAAACTTTTTATAAGATACTTATTTCCAAAGGTAGAGGCACCATCTTATAATACCAATTAGCACCATTGTTAGAAATGAATAGCAACTCTTCAATGTCATCTAATATCCACTGGGTATTCACCTTCCCCCTGGATTGTCTCATGTATGCGTTTTTCCTGTTTTCTTTTAATCTAAACAATGTCATCTGTGCATTGCATTTGGGTGACATGACACTTAAGAGTCTCTTAATCTGTAATCATTCCAAGTTCCCCTTTTTTTCCTTGGCTGGATGCAAGGAAATTGTTAAATGTCTTGCTAAATATGATGGCTTCATCCTAGTACTAGCTAATACCTAAAGGCAAAATACACATTTGTGTTAAGGCTTTTTGCTTACAACAATGGATACAATTTAACATATCAAAGTCTCCTTGATAATTGTGAATTTGGGGCAGATCTGATTAGATTGCTTTTGTTTTATTTGTACTAGGGTTGCTGCAAAGCTCAGACTAGCTCTACCATTTTCTTGCCATTCCCTTGGGTTTACATTATTAGTCTTCAGTTAGTGCAGTTTCTTTGCATTAAGCTTTTAAAACCACACGTTCAGCTTTTATGAGCTAACATTTTATATGTCTTAAGCCACCCATCTTTTCACGTTAATATCTATGAAATCAGTTTCCATATTATAATCAATGGTGAGTAATAGTTCAATAGGTAGCATTTTCCTTTACCATTTATTTAACAGTGGTGCATCTTACAATCAAAGAGGTCTTAGACTGATGAAATATACTATTTATTTAAACTAAGTAATATAAAGGCCCCCTTCTATGGAAGTTTTACTCTTCTTTCTGAATGGTCGGCCACCTCTACAGGATAGATATCCTGAAGAAGTTGGACAAGTCCAAGTCTGGCCAAAAACATATGAGCTATTCTGAATCTTCAGAATGGAAGTGATTTCATACAGGATCAGAAGCTTATATGGCTACCAGAAGGTAGGGCCTAAGGTGAGGGGGGAAGTTTCTAGAAATCCAGGAGTGCAAGAGTCATAGGGAAGCTCCTCTGCCCCTCAGTAGTCTCAGCTGCCTGCACGACTGAAGAAGGTGAGTCTCAAGATGATATCTGGAGGCTGCTGGCAAACCCCACGTCTGTGCCTCCTGCTGATGCTCAAAAGCCTGTCCCGTGCAACCAGCAGAAGGAAGCAGCTTCTATTCACATCCCTCTTCCCCAAATCAGGGCACAGGGTCTCTTGGGGCAGAATCTAAGAACCCATGTCTACCAGCAAAGGAGTGTAGCAAGTGTTGTGTCCAGGCTTTATGTCTCTAAGGACAGGGAGGAACCGAGAAGGGCTGGGATGGTGGCAAGTACCAACAATGTCCAGCACTTTGGAACACATCAGTGAATCTGTACGTTAACTGCAGAAAAGCTTAATCTCTGTCTTCTTACGTGAATATTAAAGGAAGGTGTAAGATATGCATCCTGCTCCCAATGGACTGACTTCTGCCCCCATGTAATATGTGCAACCACCCCACCCTTGACATCAGTGCACTTGAGCCTCCGAGGCCAGCCAAAGCCAGGTGGAGGAGTGAGGCCAAAGGAGGACGGAAGAGGGCTTGGCAAGGCCAAAACCCTGCCCTGGCTGCCCTGTTGTCCCTGAGGGATTATTTCTAGAAATGAATGTGCTTAAGTGCTTTGGTTCTATGGCAGAAGAACAGGACACACCATTACTGTTGCATAAGGACACATCACTTATGGGCACTTGGCGCTGACTCATGTGTACTGTCATAAGCGCCCTGATGTCCTCCTTTTCATGAATGCTGGTTTATCTGTTATGTTCTAGGCAGCTCGAGGGGAGGAGCTAGGTCTCTTTTTTCTTAAAGATCTCCCCTCAATGCTGATAGCATCCCTAAAGCCAGAAAGATGATCCCATAACACTAGAGTTGCCTCAGTTAGAGCAGAGGGAGTGACCAAGCTCAACTTGAGCATGTGCTAACTATGGAGTGTGGCTCTCAAGGTTCAGTCACATCAACTTGCTGACAAAATAGGACAAACAGCCAAGAGAGAGGAAGGACTGTTCACATATTTCAATGGTGGGCTCTCACTTGCATGTCCTGTCAAACCTAGAGCTTTCCCACGTTGCCTGGATCAGGTTCAGGGCACTTCGTGAGCAAGCCCGAGCATCAAGCTATAGCCCCAGAAATTTTAACCTACTTCATTTACTCAGTCAACTGCAAGGACAATCCCTCCTGTAGCTTGAAAAAGCAGTGCTTTTCCTCCCAATTACACTGTCACTATTCACAGTACTTATTTTTGAATATTATAGAAGGGCATGGTGTTTCTATGCCTACAGAAGGAGGCCTTGGCTTAAAAGTTTGGGAAATCCCACTCTAGAACATGTACTATAAGACATTTCAACGATGAGAAATCACACGGATGAAAGACCAAAGCAAAGTCTAGGTGTGCCTGGAAGGTCTTAGAGCTCCAGGTGAAGAATTCTGTGGGCTACAGAGCAGAAAAGGATGAAATGAGAGACAAAGCCAGAGGAAGATCATTTAAAATTCACAGGAAGGGCAATATGGCTTATTAGTCTCTGGACTAAAAATTTGTAAGCCAGACAGGAGCGAAAAAGGGGCCCCAAATCACTCAAGTCTCACATCACTCAAATCAACACCCCCGTTCCAGCCACTGAGCATCAGCCCTGGAGCCTTGGTCAGGACCCCATTGTCTCCAGTGAATCGTAGGACGCGATTCTGGGGAGCAAGAGCAGTGAGGGTTTCTGGGTTCCTCAGCTGGAGCCGCAGCTCCTGGAGAAGGGGACAGGGGTTGGGTGAGTGAGGCTACGCAACTGGAACCCCAGTCCTCCAAGGGCATCCTGCTGGGACAGCTGGGCCATCTGGAGGCAGAGGGCCAAGAGCAGGTGCATCCAGGAGGCAGCCTCTGGCCCCCAGTGGTAAAAGAGCAGCCAGAGTTGCCAGCCAGGCGTACAGACTCAGATGGGATGAGATATCTCAGGGCACTGGCATTTTCTAGCACACTCATATCACTGATGATATCATAAGTAATAAAGGCTCTGACCACAGATACGGCTCATCAACTGAACTTCTTACAACCCCCTGGGGTCTCATTGGAGACCCCCTGTAAGAAATCAGCCCTTGGCTCTTACACATCTGCTTACAGGTAGAATCTGTGCAGGTTTTAAAACTCAAGTATTTGGACACAGAAAGCCACAAGCTTACTAGAGTGGCTGTTTCAGTTCCAACAAATTCACACATTAATATAATGTGCTGATGATAAATAAAATAACATCTAAGGCTTTAAATGAATCGTTGAGATTATTTAACTTTATTTTTTTAAATATGAAAACTGTAAAACATAGTATTTATGTAAACACCTAAGGACTGTTCAAGTGGGTACAGCATCTTCATACAAACAATTTGAAGGAAGACCAAGTTTAAGTAAGAATCTTATGACATATAAGGAATAACATAGATGAAGCTATTCTGTAAATAGTTGCAGTCATGTCTAAAGTACATTTGGTTTTCTAACAAGAAAAGGTACATTATTGCCCCTGGTGAACATTTTCTTCACATTTGTAAGTGGCTAATGGTGACAGCACCAATTCTCATAGCTTATAAACCTTACATTTGTTATACAATGTAATAAGATGTTATAAATTTATAATGAAATAATAGTGTTGAACATGTTTCACTTGACAGTTCTAACTTACAAAATAAAGCCCCCAAACATTAGTCTGAATTAATGTATCATTCAAAGTGTAGCAGGATAAATGGCTCAGAACTAAGCAAATTAAAAATATTGCATAGGACAGAGAACTTCCCTGTATGGAAACCAATCCATAGATTGTTTCTTGTCCTCTGAAAAGTAAGTTGAGAGGTACTAGTGATGGCAAATAATCCACTTAGATTTCACAAAATAAAACATCTCGCAAATATATGGCTCATCCTACCTCTGGGGGAATACAAAATGCCATTTTAAATTAAAAAAAAATTACTTGTGTGTATACTTCAGGTTAGAATAAAATATAAAATACTATCTAGATAAAGAATAAACACATAAAATAAAATTATATCTCTTAAAAGTTTAGACAGAGGTATTTTTATAGAGAGGTACAAACAATGAAAGTATAGTTAAATGTCCAAACTTAGCCAAAATATGAAAGTTTTAGTAGAATAGTTTTTTGGAAAAAAAAGTAGTCAGACTTTATTGAAACCACCCTTGTAGTATATTTCTTGCATAAAATAACCATTCTATCTATCCTATGGTTTATCTAAAAACTGTTAAGAGCACTTCATAAAAGTTTATAAGCTTATTTTTTCTCTAAATCTGAATAAAACATGTAGAGGAATAATAGCAGAAAAGAAAATAACTTATATGGCTATTCTCTTTCTGGAAACTGATAGAACACTGCAGCATCAGACAGACAAAATACTTCAGAAAGAGATTATCTATGGGTACACCTTTAAATTCTCTTCTGAGGAAAAATTCCCATAGATTTAATCATAGAAGTTGTCAACCCCTGATAATACCTCTCTTAGCTGTTTTAGTTCTCTGTATAAGGATGAACCAGAATCAAAGGGGTTTATTTTCCATTTCTTGCATGAAATATATTCGTAAACAATATAATAAGAGTAACTTTTAAAGACCTATAAAGAATGAATTTCCTATTGGACTATTCTAATACTATCTAGCAGTTAAATGGTTTTGAAAGAAGTAGACTGGACTATAACATAGTTCTACAATTCTAGCTATATTTTGAAAGTTACTTTCTAAAAAACAAAAATGACTAAAGGGCAGAAAAATGATTCTACACTAAGGCAGCATTGGTATCTCTGGAAGTTGGCCCAATCTAAATTTGCACAAGGATTTTTTTTTTAATTTTCAAAGCATTTTCCTTGTTTAAGTCGTTCAATGTAGTAGCATAGCTTCATGGCCGTTCCCAGCTTCAGCCCCAAGTACTTCAGCATCACGTCGCTTGTGAGTAGGAGCAGAGCCTTCCCATCAATTTCCTGTGGAGAGAAGAAACTTAACAATAATTAGTAATGCTTCCATTTTTTCATCAGAGCAGTTAGTTCTTTATGAGAACATGTAAAGCAAACTAGAGAACAGTTCATTGCAGATGTATATCCTCTGAATATGCATCTGCTTTATGAAAACTATTAAAAATATACAGTGAAGCACCACTTGGTAATGTATAAACTCACTTCAAGTTCTAAGAAAAAGGAAATTTAACCTAATATCTTAAAAAATAAACTGTGTCAAACTTTAAATACATACACTGTATGTTGAATAAAATACTACACCTCCATGACAAAATAGTAAAGACTATGAATAGCAAAAATGAATTTCAGATGGTCATTAACTTTCTGAGAAGGGCTGGGAAGATGAGTATGTCAACATCAGTGCAAACTATAAACGTCTATACAATGTCTTTATGATGAACGTGAATTAGCTGTCTGAAGCTAATTAGACGCTAAAACTAATCACCAACTTTCCTACTATACTGAAAGTCAGATATGCGGCTACTAATTTTATGTGTTAGGATACACTGTGAAAATATTTCTTCATAGTCACAAAGCATCCTTTTAAAATTCCTTATCTTAATTGATCAACTCAAGCTGCTGAAGCATGTGATTTGGTTTTATATGTCCCAGTTTAAAAATAAAATCTTACTCATTTAACACTATCTGAAAACACGTGAAATCCCTTATAGTACGATCTTTGTTTGGCACCTTCTATATTTTTTCCACTAAGCAAAACTTGAAATTAAAGAAAATGGATCTTATAAAACCTTGGCCTAGGATATTACTTTGTAAATGATCTGGTAATAGCAAGAGGGTATTAGCATCACAAATCATCAATAATGAGGCAAATAGAATCAGTCGTTGAATCACTGGTTATGTAAAAAGACTACTCTATTATAGCTTGTGGTTAACCCCTCTTCCTGGTCCTGATGCCCAGCTGGGAGCAGATGGGGGAGGATCATTGTATCTGTCCTTACAAAGGGGAGGTACACCTGAATGGCCATGCTGCATCATCATGTCTTGAGAAGTTGAGGCAGTTTGTAGTTTAGGCACTTTGATACCCATTTAAAGAACAGACTATTAGCCTACCATTTAAGGCTAACCTTGGGCAAAATAACCTTTCTGACATATGGAAAAATCAGTTGATAGGGTTCACCCACTAGTCACACAGTATCCAGCTGAAAGGCCTGCACAGAGGTCATTCAAAGACATTACAGCAAGAAAACAAGATCAAAAGATACATTACATGGCTTCTGAAGAGGTCGACAAGAGGGCATAATGTCTGAGGATCCGTTTGCTTCAGAAATAGGACTACTGCTTCCACTGACCATGTTGCAGGGTGCCTAGTGAAGTTTGACTCGTCTAAATACTGGTCATTTCCAATTGGTGAGCTTGCAGCTTCAATAGAGAGGAAAAAAAAAAAAAAAAAGATAAATCACACTTGACCTGATTATTATCCTGAAAGAAGAGATGTTAGGAAGGGAGGAATGGTGTCTTTGTTGAAACCTTCTGTGACGTTCCTAGCAAGGAGTCAAGACTTCGACCGTAAAATCTAGTGGAAGTCTATATAAAGATGATGTGAGGATGCCTACACAAGAGTGTCCCATTTGACCTTCCCTAGATAACAAAAACAGGTTCAGAAGTTAAAGATTCAAAGATCACAACACAGATTAGGCAAACTAAGTCTTCTTTGGCCACAGGCAAATATGGCAAAAGATCTGTCACTTGGGTAAAATTAGGTTAAACTAGCCTAACGTATGACTCTCTTACTTCAAGTATTTCAAGGAATTTCTCTCTTAATCTCTCTCTTGGTCTATCTAGATTAGGTTGATTTTACTAGCTAAATATAATGGAAATTCCCCAAATTTACAGTTTTATAATTGCTTAAATTTCTTTTAATAAATGAATGTCAATAACAACCCCATTATCTTTAAGAACCAAATTGGTCCTTTTATCAAATCTTCACCATGTATTCAATAAGGTTATTTTTAGTATCACTTTACTCTTTAGATTCCTGTCTCTGATGGCCTAAGTGCTAATGTGCATTTTGAAGACAAGATTGCTTTCTGCTAAACTAGGCCAGAAGTAACTTTAACATTTTATTTAATTCCTCTTTCATGTTTAATTGCATAGTAATAGAGATTTTGGTCAAAGGTTTATATGTTAAGAAAAGAAATAACTGAGATATGAGACAATTTAAGTGCTCATACTTCAGAAAGTTTTAGCTACGCTCTATACTAAGCTGTGTTGAAATTTCTCTGTGTACTGCTAAGTATTCTTTTACTCACCCAGAGTGTTAGATTCCCTAAAATTAGTGTGTGATGCCTAAAGTGGGTTTCATAATTAGTTAGGAAAATTTGTTTCTCCAACCAAGACCATCCACACAATTTGATCTTTGTATATGTGAGTGAATTAGCCAAAAGCATACCCTTTCTTCCCTATCATCTGGGCTCTTGCCATCTCAGGAGTGTTTTTTATTTATCTAGGGAAAGAGTAAAGAAAAAATAGAAGATTTAAAAAATCACAATGAGGCAGAGCTCTAGAAGTGCTACTCACCAGCTCTGTGACCTTGGGGACAGGAAAATACATGTGCCAACACCACGGTGTCATTGTAAGTGGGGAAGAGGGGTGTCAGTTGATTGGCACAGTGCCTTGCACATAATAGACACTCAATAAATGTTAGTCATCATTCTGAATATAGCCTAAAACCAGCCCTCAAAATAGGAAATGATCAGCTTCTACTAGTTTGCATCACGGACGTTGATAAATGCAGGTCAAATAGTGCTACTTGTAGATATGGCATTTCAAACTCACCAAAACCAGAACGGAAGCAGAGAGATGATCCAATGTGCCTATTCTCCATCAAAGCTGAGTAACTCATCATCTCAGGGGCATGTACCAAACTGGGCTCTCCCTGGGCCAGCATACCTGAAGGTGGTACTGCAGAAGGGTGGTCAGGCGAGTAGTTGCTGCGGATGCTGTTAGCCCTAGGGCTGCCAAGGTAGGGCCCTGAAGAGCTAGGCATTACACCATCAGATGCATAATATGGTTGATAATCATGCTCAGGGTAGTCTGAGGGATGCACTGGACTCGGAGTGCGGCTAAGGACTGGGTCCTCCTCTGGCTCAGCTCGCTGGTATTCTTCCATGCGAAAGGATGGTGCTGGATTGTTGCTCTGGGAATTATCCTCCCGCATTGACACCGGTGAAGTGGGACTATAACTTTGAGGGTAGGAGAATGTCTCGTAAGCCTGACTTTTCTTCATCTTCTGGAGTTTAAGCTTTTTAGCAAGCAGGTAAGAATAATTTCTGTACGCATATCCATATCCAAAGCCAAATGGCTTCTGAAATCACACAAACGCAGCATAAACCAACAGTGAGTAAAAAAGTAATGAGTAGTAAATACATTAATACTTATTTTCCATGCAACATTGCTTTACATTATTAAAAATAAATGCTCCCTTTTGAGTATATAATTAATTCTTATTCAATTCTACATTTTAATTGTATTTTACACATGATAGTTATAAACATAAAAATACGCAGTGTCATAAGTTATCAAACCTAAACTTCAGCATTCTCCCAACTGAGTCTAGTCTCTCCATCTGCTGCTACAAGTATAGACATGCCTTGCTAATCTCACACAGTTACTGGTACTCTCTCACTTCTAGCTGATTGGCATCTTTACAAACCAGAGGTTTATCATAGTTATAAAAATGTTTTTTATAACACTTACACGATTGGTCCACACTGCTTTTGCATTGAAACGTTGGATTTTTGAAACCTTTCTACTAATGATATCAATCTTCTTATCCAGGTTTTGGATAGCATCATATATAACCTATTACAATACAATGTAGTTATAGGCATACAGTGTATAATATAATGTAGTTTCTATTTCAAAGAAAAGTAACATGAAAATACCATTAAGTCAAATGTTAACTGCTAGACACAGCAAAAGTTCTCAAGCCATCAGAAATGTCTTGCTTCTATTCAAGGCCTGGCTGTAGGTGACACAGAGCCAATAGGCTGAGTTCAGGAGCCCCAATGTCTCTTCCCCTGCTCTGCCCCATGTAGGCACTGAGGAAGCTCTAATGGTGGCGAATGAATTGCCACAATGCCTCTACACTAGCACACTGATGATGGAGACACTGCACATCAAGGAAGGTGCTATTTTAGGAAAGAAATGCTCAAATCTGCTAAAAGAACAAAGACTCACTTTATAATGTTCATATGTAACATATATGTTCATATATCTACAAATATGAAGTCTATATTATAGACAGCAAATGTTCCACTCCAGAAAGAAAACTGAACCAAATATAACAGATGTGACTTTTGGCTTCAAAGTACTTTTAAATCATGCAGTCAGCAATTAACCTTACAAAACCATGGAGTACACATGAGATTTATATGTCAATCAAGCACATAGGAGACTGATAAAAATCTGAGAATTCTTGAAATACACAGAAACTTTGGGTAAAGAAAAATACACTTAACAAAGGGCCAGAAACATTTCCTCATTAATTCATTCATTAATTCAATTAAACCTTTATTGACAGCCTACCACCTGGCAGAACTACTTTGCTAGGTGTTGAGAACATGGACTGAAAGAAGGCTCCTGATCAGGTGTAATCCCAGCACTTTGGGAGGCTGAGGCAGGTGGATCGCTTGAGCTCAAGAGTTAGAGACCAGCCTAGGCAACATGGTGAAACCCCCGTCTCTACCAAAAATACAAAATATTAGCCAAGTGTGGCAGTGTATGCCTGTAGTCCCTGATACTAGGGAGGCTGAGGTGGGAGAATCACCTGAGCCTGGGAAGTTGAGGCTGCAGTTAGCCATTATTGTGCCACTGCACTCTAGCCAGGACAATGGAGTGAGATCCTATCCTATTTAAAAAAAAAAAAAAAAAAAAAAAAGCTCCTGTCCTAAAGGAACTGCCATCTCAGCTGGGGGAGAGACAAGTAAAAAGAGGATTCCAATAGACAAAGTGATTAATAGCCTGGAACAGTGGTTTGCAAAGTGTGGTCCACGGAACGGTGGCATCAACATCACCTGGAAGCTCATTAGAAATGCCAAATTCCAGGCTGTACCCTAGACCTATGGAACTGGGAACTCTGGGAGTAGGGGCAGTGGTCTGTTTTCACAAGCCCCCAGGTGATTCTGATGTCCCCGCTGAGAACCACTGGGCTGTGACACTGAGGTAAACAGTGCAGGCTCTAGGGGAACATGGTTGGGGTCAAATACTAGAGTCCAGCCATTTATTGGCTGTGTGACCCTGGGCAGGTTACTTAACCTCTCTGTGCTTCAATGTCCTCATGTAGGGAATCGGGATGAAAATCTCTCTCAGGGTTCTCTTGAGGATGAGAACCTTGCTATGGTATTAGGTTAATGCTAACAGAAACAACACTACACTATGCCCAGTTCAACAGTGCTCAGTGTTATTAGTTACTAGTGTTACTAATGTTATTACCAGCACTGTGACACAGGCAGGAACAGGAGGGTAAGTGTGCAGAGAAGAGCGGGCCTAACCCAGGCTGGCAGTCATGGAGAGCTTTTCAGATGAGGCGAGGTCTGAGGTGAGAATTAAAACATGAGAAGGCACTCACCAGGATGCATGTGAGGATGCATGTAAGGGCTTACAGGGCAGAAGAACAGCAGGTTCAAAAATACCCACAGAGAAAAACAGGAAGCCAGGTGTGGAGACAGCAAGTATCAATGACGTTCCAGGAATGGGGCTGTCATGGTAAGGAGAGAGTCAGGATGACAGGAAAGGAGGGATGGGAGGCAAGAAAAGTGGCTTCTCCAAGCTGTGGGAGAACTTGTAGACAGAAAGGAGGGAATGGGACTGGAGCCAGAAGAGAGAAAGGGATGCCCGATGTGGGGGCAGCTCTGAGTTCAGGGAGGGGACCAGAGGCAGAACAGGGACTGAAGCCAGAGGAGAGAGAGGGATGCCCGATGGGGGCAGCTCTGAGTTCGGGGAGGCGACCAGATGCAGAAAGCAGTGAGGGTGTCAGCCCTGGTCACTAAAATGGTCGTGAAGGGGTCAGAAGGGTGAGGATGGGGGCAGTTGGTTGACTATGGGGACAGATATGAGGACTTGGAAGGGAGGACTGCTGGACTGAGGTAGGCAGGGGACCGCCAGCGGAGGGCGTCCTCCTCTGCTCCCAGCATAAGCAGGAGGGAGGTGGACTCAAGAGGGAACTGGGATGAAAGAACAAGGCAGGCTGAAGCAATACCCCTGTGATCTAGAATGGACAGGTGAAGAAAGAGCCAGTCCCTTGGGAGGAATGGAGAAGGGCCCTTGGGCCATTTCAGGCTGACCACGGCCCTGGGTACCTCCTCCAACAGATGCTACCTCTCACCTCAGCATGCAGGATTGTTGAAGGGGACTCTAACCTAGCAGTGCAAGGGGAGGCAGGCTGGGGAGAACCCGCTCCCTCCCTCCCCAGCTAGCCTCTGCATCCACTTCCCCACAAGACTCTATGTGTTCCTTGGAAGCACTCCAGTTCTGTTCTTACCCATGATCATAATAAACATCCAAGCAATTTTAGTTTCCAAAGCATGTTAGCTTATTCCATTCAAGAAACCTTATATATGGTAAGAAACATTTTTTTTTAAATAAACCTTTATTACCTCTGGGGTACTCAACTCACAAAATTCCCAGTAATCACATCTCTACCAACATGGTGATTCTTACAACTCCCCTCAAAACTACCTTAGGTATGTTTCTTTATAAACCTTGATGGGCTGCCATTTTGTTTCCACTGAGATATCTTGATGTGCATTTAGGCACATACTAAAGTTCATCCAAATCAGTCAATTTCCTTTACGGATTTTGTAGGGGAAACTAATTCAATACTGAGCAATCCAGATGAAAGATACTTAACTAGATTGGGTTGGCAATGAGCTTTTAAAAAAGCTACAAAATCTACATGTTGCTATTTCAAAAATGTCACCAGGAAATGTGGCTCTAACCAGAAATTGTTTTTAAAAAATAATCACAACAGAGTGATAATCATAAATAATTTGATAGGCAAAATTTCAATTAATTGTACACTTTCATTTTATGAGAGATAAGGAGAATTTTTGCTTAACATTTTAGAAAACTACATTGAAGAGACAGAACTTCCATACCTGGCAATAGGTAAGGACATCATCAACTGGCTTCGATTGCTCTTCAGTATTACAGGATGCATCAGCTACAATAATCGGTTCCTCCTAGTAGTTTTAAAGTGGTTAATGCTTTATTTCTGAAACAGTCAAGCTGAACACCAGGGGCGAGGGAAACTATATTTATTTATTTAAATTGTTTTTATTTATAACCAACTTTTTAATGGGTTTCAGAAGTCTTAATCTAAAGCGGAGATTTAAGAAATTCACATTAATATGAGAATGAAAATGATAACTGACAATTGAGGAAGGAGGCAATAAAAGAATTTATTACATCGGAAGAATCCAGGTTTAGAGTTTTGTACTGAAAGTGAGTACAAAACTACTCTTTTCTACTATATAAGAAAAAGGGGGAAGTAAAATGGTTAAGTGCTCATTCTCTGATGAAAGAAAGCATTCAAATTCAGGGGAGAGATATTTTCTTGATTGTGAGTTCATGGGAACTCCATAGTATATGAGGAATTTAAATCTTTTTCTTTAAAACAGCAAGTGTTAATGTATTTGGCAATTAGCAATTAACACTACTTACCTCGGTTTTTGGTTCACATACAAATTTAGGTTTTGTTTCATATGCATAAAGAATAGTGTTGTCATCATCATAAGTAGGTATTCTTGTTCTTATCTGAGGAAGATTTATCAACAAATTAAAAGGAAAGATGAAAGACAGAACTAAAAGAAAAGTTGAGGGTTTAATTTCACTTTCAAGAAGGTTTTACAAAGGGCTATTTGTGATAGCAAAGGAACTTTGATCATTGTAAATACTATGACTACAAAAAGATGTGTTTGCGGAACTGTGTTCTCATTAACCCAACAATACTTAAGATAACAGTTTTCACTAAGCTTAACCCTTTATACACTTCATGGTAGAAAGACTAGTCCTTTAGCACCAGAACTACTTTAAAAGCAAGTATTTCTAACCATGAACAAAAAAAATAAATGCTATATGGTTTTTGATTTCTAAATAATCCAACAGTGCCCCTCTGTGGACAAGATAGAAAACATCTGAGCACCTATTTTTCTTGATAAATTAATCTCTAAATTACCTTAAAACTTTTTAAAATAAGATAGGATATAAATAAGTAGTGAATAACCATTACAATTCAATATAATAACTCTTCATTCTAAGAATGAATTATGAATTATAGGAATAATTTTAAAATAAACATACTTGGTAGCTATGTATGTTTTTGTTTGAAAATACATGATAGAAATTACAAAAAAATATGGAATTAGGTTACAGTTTAGTATTTTTAAAAATATACTATCCTACTCTTGTATAGTGTCTCATGCTTTTCAAAGTGCTTTTACATAGTTATGTCAGAGAAAAATGACTCTTGGTAGGCAGTTAACATTATCTTCAAAGATTTTTAAAAAACAGTAGAACTGATAGTAGTTAAGAGAATTGCCTAGGCTACTTAGGTAGCATTACCATCTATGTCCTTATGTAACTAAAAAAAGGTGTTTTCTGTTAAGCCAAATTATATACAGTTTAATAATCTATATACTGATTCAACTTGAAGGATTAAGAAATATAGAAGAATATAACAGAAATGTAAAAACAGCACAACTACTTTGAAAAACTGTTCAGCAGATTCTCACAGAGTTAAATTTACGTGAACTCCATAACCTAGTAATTCAACTTCTGTTTACCCAAAAGAAATTTAAGTGTGTGTTCACAAAGAAACTTGAACACAAATTGTCACAAGAGCTTTATATATTACTGCCAAAATATATAACAAAAATTCAATTATCTATGCATTTTACTGTATAAAATTAAATTTAGAATAAAAGTATAGCACAATAAAAAGAACAAAGACAGATTTTCAATTTGAATACAAACCACATCAGTTTCACTGGAGCCGCTAGACATCATTTTTGTGATACTGCTTAGTCACCTAAGAGTGGCAAACCTCTACTCCTGAAAAGCAATGCATAAAAAAGTTACTTCATATACTTACTACCTTAATAATATGGATATGCTCTCAGAATGCTAACTCAAATTGAATTGGACTTTGGGTTGAATTTTAAAAAGTGACAAAACCAGATTTCTTCCATGGCCAATTTAGAATAAATCTTTTAAAACTGAAGGGCTATATTGCCCATGACTATAAATAAGAATCAAATCAAACACATTTACAAACTGTGAAGTGACTGCTTAGTAACTTACAGCCTACAGAGTAAATACTGGAAAAAAATGAAGAAGAGAACATAAGGGCTAACTGCTTTTGTAAAGGAGCTCCAAAAGGCTCTTGACTAAGGAGAACGCATTGCCTCCAAAATGAAAGCCAGGAGTCTATTCTGGATTGAGACCCCACCAGTATGTGGGCTGGGCAGACCATGAGAGATACCATCTTCTCACACACCAGGCTTTGAATACCAGCTGAGATGATCTCTAAGGACCATTTCAGCTTTCAAGTTAGGATTGCCTTATTACATTGCATATTAAACCTAAATAAATGGCTGTGAAAGGCAAGCCAAACAATCTAGAATTAGGAAGGTTCAGTTATGGCTCTGAATCACTTAACTACGGAAATAGAAGATATTGGCTACAACAGTATCAGATTATATCTTGTACCAGAGATTTGCCTTGAAGGTCTGCATCCCAGTTACTGGGAAGGGTATGTTAATAAAAGAACTACTTCACTTTATCCTTCCTGAGCCAGAGCAGTAATGAGAGGCACAAGAAAGTCATTCAAGTTTCATCTCTTTTCCTGTTTCCCTTTCATTCTATAGTAGAGACACTAATGACCATTCTATAGTGGAGATACTAATGACCATGAGCCCAAGAGAGAGAAATCAAAAGGGGATAAAGAAGATGGGAGAACTCAAGTGAGATAAATGCACACTAATGTTGCATAGAAGTATCAAGTTATAAAATACCTCTAATTGGAGCTGTAACTTCAATCAAATTTCGCTTTTTAAACTATTTGAGTTTTTCAGACCATAAAACTTATACAAGCTATGAGTAATTCAATTGTGGTATATTCATACAAAACAACTACACAGCAATGAGAATAAACCAACTACTGCCGCACACAGGAAGGCCGAATCTTACAACCATAAACCTTGAGTTTGAAAACAGCCAGACACAAAAGAGAATATAGTATATGACTCAATTGACATTAAACTCAAAAACAGGCAAAAGTAACCTATGGTAGAAAGTCTTTCCAAATCAATACTTTTAGATTTATTGTAGTTTCTGTAATGACTTCTTAGTGTTCTATCTCGTAAATATGCCATGATTTATTAAACCAGTCTTAAATTCATAGATATTCAAGTTACTTCTAAAGTTTTGCTCTTATAAAGAACACTGCACAACAGTCTTGCACCTGTGGAAGTAGTTCTATGGGATAAATTCCTAGAAGTAGAAACAACGGATAGGTATCCATGTTTGAAAACTCTCCTCTACTTCTTCCCACTAAGGAGGGCTGTTGGGGTCAGCCAGATGTTCAAAACTAAACTAAGGTGGTATCCTGCTGGTCCTGCATGTAGTTTTAAAACCAAGACAGATAATAAATAGTACCAAATCGCTTCTTGGCATCAGATGACTAAATGACTTTCCTCCTTTGATCTACTGATGCAACATATTAATACATTTCTTAATGTTTTAGGGGTGAGGGGTCCAGCTGATTATAAGAAACAACATTCAATTTATTGGTGTTTTATTTAGAAATTGTTTGCATCTCTATTTCTAAGATCTTACATTAGTGAGATGGTATATTTCTCCCAATTAATGAATCAGTATTGATACATTATTAACACTTGGTATCAAACTTGCTCTGAAAAATTAGCTGGAAATCGTTCTATGCTCTAAAAAACTTTACATCACACCAGAATTTTTGTGCTCTAAAGGGTTGAATTAAACAAAAAAAACCTCTCTTGGGTCCAGCTTTTATAACGTTTTCTAAGTTCCTCCATGGATAATGATCTAATCAAATTATCCTACCTTTTCTTGAGTTGTTTTGACAAATTATTTTTATCCAGAAGGATAATCATTTCATCATAATTACAGAAATTTTAGCAAAACCAGTTTAAAATTACTATTTCTAATTTAATTTGTACTTTCTTTTGATTCTTTGATTAGTATTCTATCTTGCTAAATTACTGCCAACCCTCTAGGGTAGGTTCTATTAGTATTCGCATTTTCCTTATTATGAGAAAACTGAAGCAAAGACCGCTTATTAGGAGTGTCCAAGGGAGAGAATACAGTCATGGGTTCTTAGTTTCTGTTTCTGGTTGGTCCAGTAAACCCCCTTCCTCATCCCTCTTTTCCACTTATCACTAGAGACAGAAGCTAAAAAGCATGGCTTCAGGCTGCTGAAAGACTAAAACAAATCAAAACAGAATGACAACAACAACAACAACAACAAAATAAGTCGGGTTGGACAAGCTTGATTTAAGTAATTTACCAAGGTCTTATAGCTAGTAAATGGTGCAGTCTACCACCACACTCTACGAGCTTTACTTCATTATTAAAATCACCTGGAATACCTCTGCTGCCAATAACATAGGAAAATCCAAACTCCTACCATGGCTTGCAAGGTCCTTCCATAATCAGGACCCCGCCCACTGGGCAGAGGTCACTTCTTACCACTTGCCCCTTTACTCTAAGCCAGGGGTCCCCAAACCCTGGGGAACCGCCTGGTACTGGTCCTTGGCCAGTTAGGAACCAGACTGCACAGCAGGAGCTAACAAGCATTGTTGCTTGGGCTCCACCTCCTGTCAGACCGTGTTGCAGCATTAGATTCTCACAGGAGCAGGAACCCTATTGTGACCTGCACGTGCAGCTTGCACTCTCCTTATGAAACAATTTCATTGCAAAACCATATCCCCCCGCCCCCAGCACTCCCCCGTCCCGCCAGGAAACTGAAACCAGTCCCTTGTGCTAACAATGTTGGGGACTGCTTGTTCTAAGCCTAAAATATTTACTATGTAGCCTGTTGCAGGCAAGTTTGCAGACAATGGGTACAAGCTCTTACATCCAGAGAACAGAGAACTCCCTAGTTGGATTAATTACAATGTTGTCAAAACTTGGGGGTAGACACAGGAACACTGTGTACCTGGACTCCCAACATGTTTAAGTCTGTGGTACATAGGCAAATCAATGCCAATCTTGCACTCTGAGCTTCTTGCTCCTGTTATGTCCTCCACCCATAACACCCTGTTGTGTCTCCGCCCAGGAGAACCTATTCAACTTCAAGGCTTAATTCAAGTTTCACCTCCAAAAAGAAAGAGCGCTATGCCAATGATCATCCCATGCGGATGTGACATGGCTTTCCCCGAACTACAAGAACACTCATACTTTAATACTTCTGAGGCAACTGTCACACATATCTGGTTACATTAGAGGCAGCATCAAACAGATTTAAGACCTTAGGCTTGTCGCCAGAATACCTGGGTTTGGGTCCCACCTCCCCTACATACTAGTTGTGTAAGTAAGTTGAACAACTTATTAAATCCTCTGTGCTTCATTTTTTTTTCTTTTGTCTGTAAAATGGGAATGATAATAGCACATGCCTCATGGAATTATGAGGATTAAATGAATTAATACATGTCAAGTGCTTAGAGTAATGCCTGGCGAAGATAGCAAAAACTTCTGGGTATTGACCACATCTATCCAACAGAACTATTTAACAAGGAGCACAGACAACAAGCCTGGGTCATAACATGTGATTTTCATTCACGTTGCACCTGAAATGAATTAGGTCATGTCTTTTAGGTACCAGGACATGATGCAAGGAGCTGGGCTTTAGTTAGAAACACTTGAATCCAAGTCCAAATTTGCCATTTCACTTTAGGCAAATATTTCATCTCTCTGTGCCTCAAATTTTCTAACCTGTAAAATTGGAAAAATATCTACTTCACAGGGCTATTTAGGACAAAAATGACACAGTTAAACTCTCAGCATCATGCCTGGTTCATAGCAGACACACCATAAATTTTAGTTCTTTTTCACTTCTTCCCATAAGATAAACAATTACAGCTTTACAACATTTTCTTAGAGCCCAACCATGACTAGAATGTGCAAAATTAATTTTTTTCAAATCTCAAATCCCACAAAATGAGTTTACTTAAAATGAAGCTCACTTATATTTATCACAGAAATCTAAACTCCTCCTCCCCTTTTTTTTGAGACAGAGTCTTACTCTATCACCCAGGCTGGAGTACAGTGGCAAGATCTCAGCTCACTGCAACCTCTGCCTCCCAGGTTAAAGCAATTCTCCTAGCATAACAGGCATGTGCCACCACGCCCAGCTAATTTTTGTACTTTTAGTAGAGACCAGTTTCACCATGTTGGCCAGGCTGGTCTGGAACTTCTGACCTCAAGTGATCTGCCCGCCTCAGCCTCCCAAAGTGCTGGGATTACAGGCGTGAGCCACTGCGCCCTGCCAACTCTTGATTAACACCATAAATTTAAGTTCCTTTTCACTTTTTCCCACAAGATAAATCCCAGCTTCACAACATTTTCTCAGAGCCTGACCATGACTAGATTGTGCAAAATTAATTTCAATTTCAAATCTCAAATTGCACAAAAATGAGTTTACCTAAAAGGAAACTCATTTATATTTACCACAGAAATCTAAGCTCTTGATAACACCACACATTTTAGTTCCTTCTCACTTCTTCCCACAAGATAATTTCAGCTTTACATTTTCAGAGACCAGCCATGACTTGATTGTGCACAATTAATTAATTTCATGTTTAAGTCTCAAATCCCATAAAAATGAGTTTACTTAAAATGAACCTCATATTTACCACAGAAATCTAAATTCCTGATAACATAAGAACAAGAAGCCATCTGGTTTTCTAAGAGCCTTTTAGACGTTAAAGACATTTTAAACACATTTTCAAAAGTCATAAATATTCACTTCCAAGGCGCAAGGCTTTCACCCTGCCTTGCCATCAACTCATCACATGAGGCACAGCTCACAATGAGGGACCACTTCGAGGAACACACAGCAAAACAGGGCGATTACAACAGCCAGACCGCTCTGTTTTAAGAACAATCACTTTCTAAATCTTCCTGCGGGACTCTCAAAGGCAGCCCTTCCACTGCCGCCAAAACCGTATCCCATCGCCCAGCACTTGCTGCAGGCGGTACAAGCAAGGCTCAAAAGGGCACCCAGCTCACGCCCCGCTTTAGAAAACGCCCCGCTGCAAAGCTGCTCGGAAAATCGCTTTTAGTCAACCTGAAGCCAGTCTGCCGCACTCGGGGAGAGCCGGGGAGAGCGAGGAGAGGAGGGAGGGACGCGGTCCGCCACCAACCAAATCAGAGACTTTCCTGTCAAAGACCACGCGGCAAGGGGGCCCGGCCCTCGCGCGCCTCGATGGCTCCCCCGCTCCACAGGGACCCCGATTTCGCAGGCTCTCCCGACTCCCGCCTCTGCCCCTAACACCCTACATCTTTCTCTTCCTCCTCCCTTATCGACATATTTACAATAAAACAGCGATGCTGCACTGTCTCTAATGAAACGCGGTTACCATCAAAAACCCAACTCTATGTCTCAACCGCGAAAAGTCTGACAGGAAATCAACTCGGGAGTTTATCAATTCTTTAAACTCAAAGCTCTGTTAACAAAGTCTGGATCCTTCCTCGCCCCCCACCTCCCTCCCCAACACGAGAACGACTGTAAATCGGTCCTATCTGCCCCGAAAGTCAGCACCAAGCACTTCACAAATTGTCAAATTTCGACAGCTCACAGGCGCGGACACTCCAGAGAGGCTGTGGGGACCACCCAAAGCACCCCCCTCCACAACCCGGCTTAAATTTGAGGCTTCGAAGTGCAAGACTCGCTCTTCCCCGCAAAGCAAGCCCACTCTCCTCAGGAGAGCCCCGGCCCCTTGAGGCATCCCCGCAAAGCAAGCCCTCTCTCCTCAGGAGAGCCCCGGCCCCTTGAGACATCCCCGCAAAGCAAGCCCTCTCTCCTCAGGAGAGCCCCGGCCCCTTGAGGCATCCCCGCAAAGCAAGCCCTCTCTCCTCAGGAGAGCCCCGGGCCTTAAGCCAAATCGTGTACTCCCGAGACCGGAATGCTCAAGGTGAGAAGTACGACTGGGCAGACCTATTTTGGTAACAGAGCCTATCACCAGAGCCTCCTGAGGTCGCGGTAAAACTGCTCGCATTAGTTTTACCTCGCGAGCCCGTGACCAGTGATTCCCGGACTCCGGCGCGAACCAAAATGCTCCCGCGGTGCGGAGTTTTCACACTCGCGGTTGGGGGGAGGGACTACGTGCTGACCAATCGGCGTCTTGGCGGGACTACGCGCTGACCAATCGGACTCTTGCTACTTGCAGGCCTCACCATTTATTGGTCAATCCGCGGGCGCTCGCCCAGCCCTTGGGTGAGGGCGGGAAATTGCTACGGAGACAGCTGTGGGGCGGGGCCTCTTGCCTCAGATTTTCCTCCGCAAAGCCGGGGGTGTTGAAAACGGCCGTTGGAACTTTCAGAGAGTCGCAAGCCTCTCGTGCTGCGAGTGGTTTCTGCGCCTGCGTAGGAGGCTGGCGTGCAGGCGCAACCCTTACAGTGGCGTTGTGGCACTTAGGGGCGTGGTATCCCCACTTCGTTGTTGACGTATCACAAGCTTTTTTTTAAAATGTGATCCCGCCCTTCCCCCCCTCCCCCGCGCCCTGTGACGCACCAGAGACGTTGACGTAAACTGGTTTCCTGGACGACGCCCGTGATTGACTTGGAATGAGGAGAGGGGCGGGGCCTTAGCAGTGGCTCTGAGCCAGGTCTGGTAGGAACGTGGAGCAAGATATTTCCGGTCTCCAGCACCCCCACAGGTTGGACTGGGGAACTAACACAGACCTTAGAGCCAGATTTACTGGGTTGGAGCCCCAGTTCCACACAGTCGTTCTATGGCCTTAGGCAAGCGAAATAACCACTTCATGCTTCAGCTTCCCCATCTGTAAAATGGGTAAAATATGGTGTAAAATATGGGTAAAATACAGAGTTAATGTATGCAAAGCACTTAGAACAGTACCTGGCATAGAAGTTTGCTATTGTAATAAAAGCTACATGACATTATCTAGTGGCATACAGTCTTACGTATATCGAAGCTTCTCATTTTGAGAAGGAGACACAGTCTGAGTAATTATCAGAATCAAAGAAGGTAGATATTTCAAAGTAAAGCTGTATACCTCTTTCCTTGGCCCAGAGAAGAGCTACAAAGAAAGTATACTGGACGTTGGAAATGTATTATTTTTCCTCTCTAATACGAAGCTAGATTAAAGCCCATTATAGATATAGTATATATTTTTTTCTTTTTTTTTTTGAGATAGAGTTTCGATCTTGTTGCCAAGGATGGGGTGCAGTGGTTTAATCTCGGCTCACTGCAACCTCCACCTCCTGGGTTCAAGCGATTCTCCTGCCTCAGCCTCCAGAGTAGCTGGTATTACAGGCGTCTGCCACCGCACCCGACTAATTCTTGTATTTTTAGTAGAGACGGGTTTCACCATGTTGGCCAGGCTGGTCTATGTTCTTTTTGTTCCTACTTTTGCCATAACAGATCCTGCCCTTATGTCTTGTTGCCTGTAAAACACTGTTGTTCAGCCCCAAGAAATCAATTACATAACAGTGAAGAGAGAAACCCATTGTTTAATTGCAGTCACGTTTATTTGCAGTTTCTATACACACTTTCTAGGTAATTAAACTTTTCTGATACATTTTTTTGAGAGGGGTTCACAATGAAACTGTCACCGTTTTTACTAAAAATAAATACAAGACTTAAAGTGTTGCACAGCTCTAAAATATACAAAGGCTTGGATTGAATGTAAACGTTGAAAACATCTTACAAAAGAAACCATCTTTGCAACGATTTAAAAAGTCCGTATTTACAAATATTACAAAAATACAAAATGGATGCAAGCCCATAAACCATTGTCTTTTCGGCCAGCATGAACTGGTTCTAGTACCAAAATAGTTACACTGTAACCTTCTTTAGTTTTAAATCTTTGTTACCATCTAGTTCTCTATGTGCCGCCACCGCAGCAAATGTACTCACTCACTGACCTTTGGCAAGAGCAAACAGCATGTTTTATTTGCTGCAACTAGTCCATGTCCTCCACTTAGCCAAAAACAAAACAAAAAAAAAATCGAAGTAGAATTTTTATAAAAGGAAAAAAAAATTCCCCTACACAACATAGATATGTTGTATAAACATAAAAGAACAAAAAAATTGCATCAGTGCAAACAACAGAAGTTCAGATTGATGTTCTTCACAATACCTAATGTGTGTACCCTGCTTCAAGATGGCAGTGATGTTAAAGACAGCCCTAAATCTTGGTCTTGTTTGCTATGTAATCAAGCCATGTAGAATATTCCAGATTATTCAGGAACTTCTTGCTTTTTCTTCTCAATTTGTAACTCAGTACTCTTTTCCACAGTGAATTTTAAATCCATCTTTATTTGGGTTTTTTAAATCTATGAAATATAAAATAGAGAAACTCTGCTATAGATTTTTAGAGTAAGCAAAATAAGTAAAACTATATTATAAGGGTTAGTTCTGTGATCATTACATATAGAAGTTATCTTATTGCCTCACAATTCAAGTCAATATGTATTTTAAAAACTATATGGTACCATTAATTAAATTAATGTCAATAATAAAAAGGTGACATTTTTATTAAAGCCAATTCATGTGTTTTCTATTCAAGATTTAGAATCACTTTTAAAGCCCACATACCTTTCTTCACACTTAAAAAACCCCTAACTACACAAAAGCCATACTGCAAACGAACTGCTTTTATGAAAATTACAAAAGATCCCCTATTGTGACTGGAAATGACGGTTTCTTATCGAATTTGTCTAAAAACTTCATTTTTAAAATTTTGCAAAGTATACTTTTCAAATCATGAGACAGATTTATTCATGTTCCCATGTAGTGTCAAACCATGCTGGTTTCTTAACTAATGTGTTCCAATGAGAAATGATGGTCCATTTTATTCAAACCCCAAAACATTTTCTTTTAAGAAAAAGTATAACACTTTGTAAATGTTCAAACCCTTTACCAGGTAGCTTATCTATCCCCATTGTGTGTGTGCGCACACACACACTCACACACACACATACACTCTCTCCCTCTTCTTATATCCCTCCACCCCCAGCACCCATTTTACATACAAGGATGACAAGAAATTAAGTAACACAGTTTGGTAGTGAAAACAAATAGTAGAAGAAGCCAGACAATGTTTTTTCTTTCCAAACAAACAAACAACAGCAATCATATTCCCTATTCTTAATCTGTAGCAGTTTAGAAAGCATTTCTATTGAAAGACAGTATCTTCTTAGACCAGGCTTCCTCCTTCATTTTACATGAATTAATCCGAAACGCAAACCCCCTTCCACACCTCCTACTTTCCCAACTACCACTTGCATAAGCTTAAAGCCAGCAGCTTGTCAATTTCTTGGTAACCTTGGTATGTTCTATCATTCTAATCACATTCTAGTCTTTTATAAGTCAGATCCCTTCTTAATTCTCTCTGCATTCTACCTCTCCCATTCAAAACCTATTCTAAGTACATAGCTGCTTATATTTCTAACATGTTTCCAATTTATGTTAAAATCAGAGGTGTAAAAACCATTTGCAGATTTTAACTTGTAACTACATTTTTTTTTCAGTTTTAAGACAAGAAAATTCAAGTAATTTCAAGTAATTCAGCTTGTTTCCCTGCCTTTATTTTATCAGAGCACCTGCCCTGACATTTCCTCTCCCACCCACCACCCTCCCCTTTTGCCATCAAGCAGACACTATAGTAAAACCAGACAAAAACTCAGTTGTATGTAGTATTGTGAACCAGAGCTGTTCCCCATTCCCAGTTTAACAATGGATATAAATAATGCACATACATATACCTATTTCCCAACTACATTGTTCACAGTGTCATTTCTGTTAATTTTTAGGTAGCATGAATCTTATCAGCACAGAGAGAAAGCTTCACTGAAAACTCATCACAGGTACTTACTGATTAATCAATAGCTCTGTGGCATGCTTAGGTTTTATTTTTGTTAGTTTAAGAAGCTGGAGCTAATTTCTAAACTGTTTAAGGAGTTTAATGATTATAGTCATTAGTTATGACTGTTTATGTCCCCAGTAGCCTAATATAAAACATAACCTAAAATTAACTACTGTTTTCCCTACTCATTCTCTTTAAAGCAATCCATTGAAAAAATTAAAATCTAAAGGACACTGTCAAATGCTGTTGTTCAGGGCTTTGTGTTGAGAATGATGACTTCTCTCATTGATTTAAAAAAACCAAAAGCATGCTTTTCATTCTGTCCAAATTATCAAACAAATCACAGCCATGAGTTGCTATTAGCTTGTTTGGTGCTGCAATTTGTCACAAAAATGATTAGATCTGAATTTATTATTTTAAATTAATCATATTTCAGTATATGACCTCAAGATTTCCTTTAGTTCACCAGTTTAAAATTCATATTTGAGGTTTACCACTCAGAAATCATAGTGGTGGACATTTAAATATGGCATTTGATATGAAAATGGTATTCACAGAATACAGTTATTACATTTTATTTTTGTGTGTTTTATAAACAGTTGGTGTGCGGTAGATTGTTGACCACATGTCTACTCATCATTGATAAATCTATTTACACATTTTTATCAAAAATATGGTATTTACATATGTGTAGTTCTTTCTTCTAAATTTTGATTTAGTTTGTTTTAATGTAAAAAAATACCAAACCTCCAGAGTAATTTCATCTTCTTAAAGAATAATGACAGTGACGGCTTTATTTTCTGAATAGGCAGCTCTGGGAAAACGTTTTCTAGGTGTCATGAAAGTTAGACATTTTTGTATCCTCTATTTTCACAAGGAAGGAGATTGGGTAACTCAAACTACGCTAAAGAAAAACATGAAAGACAGTGCAGCTACTTAAAACATGGAAACTAATCAACAATGTCTAAACCACTTTGTTTACCCAGCACATACTGTATTTAGAAATTCATTCATTACATAACAGTTATGCTACCCCATCAAGTTGAGACTTCTCCAAAGTCCTCTATTCCGTTCCTCCATCCTCACATGAGTAACGGTTTTGGCGTTTGCCAGGCAGCCTGGTACAGGCAGTCTATGTTGAGCTCTGGGAGGAGTGGTCATCATGTGGACTCCCATCAGAATTTTCTGTCTCTCCCTCGGAGATAGCCTGCATGGGCGTGTTGTATAGCCGGCAGCGGACACTGTAGCGGCTGCTGCTGGCTGCAGGAGGGGCCCGAGAACGTCCAACCCTTGCTGATGCTGAGGTGGCAAAGCTCTTCGAGGAAAAGCCTTCTGCATTAACTCGTGGGGAGCATGGAGAGAGTGGGGACAATGCCTCGGCCCCTTGTGACCCCTGATGGGCATCATCAGTGCTCTGAGGGGACTCTGTTGTGAGCTCCCCAGGAGGTTTGGGCAGGATGGGACTCTTCAGGATCTCAGTGGCAGACATGCGGTAACTGGAATCTGAACGACTGCCTTTCTTGAGCAGTAACAGCTTAAACTCTTCATTGGATGTGTTGGACTTTTTGGCATTTCGGTATATGAGACCAGGAGACCTCTGGCTGTTTGGGGTTGTCACGTTGCTGCTGGGTGAAGTGATGGAGCTGGTGCTGCTGCTGCTACTGCTGAGGGGAACTCTAGATTTGCTTCGAACAGACATGTCCCCAGAATCTTTTCTTCCAAGTACTTTCCTCTTGGATCTTTTGAGAAAAGGAGAAAATGGGCAACATCTTAGTCCACATTTTTATGAAACTGAAGTATTCAGTCACATTCACACATCTGTTTAAAATGCATTTTGATTGTGTCCTATATGATGGGATACTAAGCATTAGGGCTATAGCGATGAAAAGTAAGATGGTCCTTGTCCCTGTGGCACTCACAGTCTGAGAGAAATTCTCTGATAACCAGTGGACACAAATTAGGTCCTAGAGATGATCGTTTCAGATAATGGCTAATGTGGAGGCTAGAGGTTCTAGAGGATACTTTGTAAAAGTTTAATAGACTATACTGCTAACAGCTGAGCACAGTGGCTCATACCTGTAATCCCAGCACTTTGGGAGGCTGAGACAGGCAGATCACTTGAGATCAGGAGTTCGAGACCAGCCTGGCCAACATGGCTCTACTAAAAATAAAAATTTCTTTTTATTTTTTAAAATAAATACCGGGCATGGTGGTACATGGGTAGCTACTGGGTAGGCAGAGGCAAGAGAATGGCTTGAATCCGGGAGGCAGAGGTTCCAGTGAACCAAGATTGTGCCATTGCACTCCAGCAGCCTGGGTGATAGAGCAAGACTCCATCTCAAAAAAACAAAAAAACAAAAAAACTATACTGCTAACTAAACTATACTTCTGGTTCCAGGTGGGTGAAAGACTGTAACTTTTTCTTATTAACTCTGTCTCTGCAATATAGATGAAATGATCTGATGTCTGAGGTTGGCTTCCAAATAACACCAGAGAAAGCAAGTGGATGGAGGTGTGGATGGGACAGCATTGGCCCTAGTTTGACAATTGATAATCCTGGGTGATGGATATGTCAGCAGACATTAGACTATTCTACCTTTTAAAATCCCTCCATATAAAAACATAATTACATGATATTTTAAGTCAATCCATCTTGGGCTGCAAATATCATTTCCCATAGCTTCTTAGGAGCATCAGGAGCATATTAAGCAGTAAGCCACTCTCTGTGGGGAACTGAAATCCTAGACCATCTCTGGAGCTCTTATAGCTTTGTATACTGTAAGCTCTCAAGAAAACAGAATAAATCCTGCTGTGATATAAATAAACAAGTAAATAGATAAATAAGTGAACCCTGCACAAAATGCAAGTCTAGGGTTACCAAACTCGTATTTTTAATACATCTATTGAACCTTGATACTCACCATCATATTATTGATTTTTTGGTAAATCTGCAGGCATAAATTTGGTGGATCTTCAGTATAACTCAGTTCCTTGATAAGCATTGGCAGCATGTACCTTCATCAACTTAAAGATTCATATAGTAGAGAAAATGTGAGCTTCACAAGTGTAGACCTACCTGATTTTGGTTCACAGAAACCTCTATGGTTGATATCTTGTATATGCCAATGTCTAGCACTGTGCTAAGTTAGGGCTTTCAAACTAACATTGGCTTTTAGCATCTACCATATTCTAGACAGAAAAAATGTTATTATCAAAATCAAATACATGAGCTATAGGTATTCCCATGTGCAATAAGGGAATAGGTCCAGAGGTTTTAACTTACTCAAGATTGCATAGGAAGTGGCAGAGTTGGGATTCAAATCCAGATCTTTCTGACCCCACTATTTACGTCCTGTCCACTATTCCACATACTAGCATTTGGTTCTTTGGGAGTAACTTTTTAACTTACATAGCTTTTAAACTTACATAGCAGTTTAGTAATTTTTCCTGGGACTGAGGATAAAGCGTGGGGGTGAGGGAAATATAATCAGAGCTTAGACTAGGTATAGGGGTGAAGGAAAAGAACCTAATGATTCATCACTCTCTGAGTGGAGAAGTATGCCTGCAAAGGTATACACAGAAAGTGTTTCTGATTGACTCCTTTTAAAACAATTGTTGGGCAGCAGTACTCATTCTTTATGAGAGAACCACATCAACAGAAATCAGAAATTCCTATAAAAAGTAGAATTCCAGGAGTAAAATATTGTAAGCTGCTTATGATGTATTTGTTTCAAAAATTATAACTTTATGAGGTAGAAAAGACAACCCCCAAGTTGTATCTCTTGGGAGTTCCATCTAGTTTCCCAAGGTCTAAGAAGACAGTCGTGTTTGTGAAAGGAGGAGGCATGGCACATCATGATTGGCTAGCTCAGTTGGATATAGGTTAGGTCTCCAAGGGCTAGTTCCTGTTCTGTTCTTTGGTCATCAGCTATAAGGAGTAATTTTGCAAATATGGACCACGGATCACAAGGGCTCATGGAGGCAGATGAAGAAGTGTGCATTTGCAGCATGGACACAAGACTCTCTTGGAAAAGCAACCCCGAGGACCTGTATTCATGGAATATGGGCATTAATTTTGGAGATGAAGGCCAGTACTATTATTATTATTATTTTTTTTTTTGAGACAAAGTCTCGCTCTTGTCCTCCAGGCTGGAGTGAAATGGCACGATTTCAGCTCACTGCAACCTCCGCCTCCCAGGCTCAAGCGATTCTCCTGCCTCAGCATTCCAAGTAGCTGGGATTACAGGCGCTTGCCACCATGCCTGGCTCATTTTTGTATTTTTAGTAGAGACGGGGTTTCACCATGTTGGCCAGGCTGGTCTTGAATTCCTGACCTCAGGTGACCCACCCGCCTCAGCCTCCCAAAGTGCTGGGATTACAGGCATGAGCCACCATGCCCGGCTGAAGAATTTAAGTTCTAAGAAGAGAAAAAAACAGAGAGCAAATATTACTTGTTCTGAGCTATAAAATGGGCAGGTACATGTATTGTCTTTTCTCAAACTTGAGACTCTGACTGTTCTGGTGAATCAACTTGTGTGTGTGTGTGTGTGTGTGTTCTTTAAATTTTATTTAAATTGACAAATAATTGTATATATAGGGTACAATGTGAGTTTTTAATTTTTTATTTCAATGGATTTTGGGGGAAGAGGTGGTATTTCGTTACATGAATAAGTTCTTTAGTGATGATTTCTGAGATTTTGGTGGATCCATGGTGAATCAACTTCTGTTTGTCTCTGCTGATATATGACTACAGCTTTGATCATATTTTTTAGGTTTGAGAAATTATTTAAAAGTCAGAGATTACACTAGAGTTTGAGCTTTCACCCCAAGTCACTTAACCACAGATTGTTTTCACATAAAAACTTGGTCTAGAATGTCTTTTCCTGGGGAAAAATAAAGCCACTCTTACAAAAGTCTCTCAGTAGAGGTCTATCAAGCTCTACTTAAAGATCCTATTTCCCAACTTGCATATCAGTCTACCAACTTGATTTGGAAAAATAATTCTTTGCTTGCTATTGTTTTTGCTGAACGTATTACAATTACAAAAGTCTTTCCCATATTTGCATTTCTGAGAAGGATTTGAAGGGGTAAAGCCTTTGTTGTACCTTTTGTTTAGGGGAACTTGGTAATGTTGCCTCACCTGTGAATGACTGCAAATAAATCCTCAGTTGTTCGAGGTTTGTTGGGAGACACGAACACACCCTCTGCTTCAGCTTGGGAGTCTTCACTAAGTGGTGAAATGATGGAGTCATCACTCGGTGATGAATCTTAAAATAAGAACAGAAGAATCTTTAAGAGGAAGTTATCCAGCACATGACTGTACTTCACTGACTCAGGGAACAAACAAACAGAAATTACCTTGCTGCCATTTTTTAAAATGAGAGAGATACCTATCGAAGCTTACTCATCCAATAACAAAAGCTTTTATCTCAACTGTTTTAATAAGTGCAAAGAAATAGTGGAGGGAAACCAACACCCAGGGCTGTGCCATATTATTGGGAACATAAGAAAGAAAAAAATCTAGGAAGTGCCATGAGACACATTTCCATTATGACAAAATTATCAGTGACTGACCTTTCCATGAAGCCTCATCCACATTTCCTTGGGTCTCCTCTGCTTTGCCGTTATCAGAGGCACTTTTGGCTGAAATACCTGAAGCAATATTTTCCTGCTCGGAACATTTTTCAGAGAATGAATTTACAGGTGATATCTCTGATTCATAGCTGATAGTACCAGGCACTTTGTCGTGGTGGCGGCTCATAACAAATTGATGCTTAAGTTGATTGCTTACATCTGTTGCTCTAGTTGGTGAGTTTGACTGAGATATGATTACATCCGCAGATTCAGGTTGTGCAACTTCCTCCCAACCTGCAGAGGGTGCCTTTTGTACCTGTTCTAGGGTTTCATCTGGACAAGCTCCATATTGTATTATTTTACCATCCAAATCATTTGGGGCAGCAGAGACCCTTTGAAATCCTTCTGTGGGAAAAGCAGAGTTTTTGGCTGGTGTGTTTTCTGGAATAGGCTCAGTCTCTGTATGCACTGGCTCTTTTGTGACATTTGAATCTATAAGATTGCTACCAGCTGAAGTTACGGTTTCTGGATTGTAGCGATTCTTCACATCAAAAGTAGGGTTTTTTTCTAAATGTAGTTTATCTGGTCCCATCTCAGCTGCAGAAGAGTCTAAAAAGGACAGTATGGTGTCTTCGGTAGAGTACTGACGAGATACTGATTTATTTGCTGTATGCAGCTTAACCTTACCTGGCGACAAGGCAGCCGTTGTAAGCGTGCGTTCTTCTAAATAAGGGAGATCTGTATTGTTGTCTTCTTTTTGCTTAACTTCTTCTGATTTGTTGATGGACCTAAGGTTAACAGATTTCAGGATGGTTGGTGTAATTGCAAGGGATGGTGGAGGATTCGACCTCAGCATTTCTCCTACTGTGTTCTGCTTATTATGAGTAAAAACATGCAGTGGATGACGGTGGTGGAATGGTTTGTTCAAGACATTATGAAGAGCACTTAGGTCAAGATGGGTAGGAGGTATAATTGGAAGTTCAAGGTCTTTACTCAGTGATATAGTTCCATCTTTTAAAGAGGGTTGCTGTAGTGAGGATTTTCTTTCTGGGACTTTAGGTTTTCTTTTGCTACCTCCGGGAGACAATGGACCTGAAAAGAAAGCTGTAGGGAAAGAGGATGTCGGCGTTTCAGACTGGCTTGAGTAGCCACTTGATGGAGATGCCAAGCCAGCCAGCTTTTCTGGTGAAGCCAGTTTAAACTCATTGTCAACAGAAGGAAGAGATGGGGTGGTGGCTCTTGATTCTGATTGCGATGTTTGGGATTCAGAGCTCTCTGGAGATTTGATGCATTCAATGACTGTGGTACCCGTAGCGGTGCTTGAATTAGATAGAGATCTATAAGGGTCATTTGTTTTCAAGTCATTTAGGAGCCAGAGGTCTGCATAGTGAGTGGATTCGGCACCTTCATCTTTGAATGGTGGAATATCCGAAGTGTCTAACTGAGATTCCTTAATGCCATGTTCACTCTGGTTTATCCAAGAAGGTTCCTGCTTGGTGGGAAGATTGGCGTTTTCCATTCGAGAAGGTGTGTTGGCAAAATCAAGAGGCAGCTTCATTTCCCTGGAACTGTGAGGCAGGTGTTGACCACTGCTTATCTTTGGTTCTTTCTTCTCAGAAACATCTGCATTTCCGTCAGACTTCCTCAATGATGAGCTACGTTTAGGTGGCGTTGGCTTTGCCTTTGGTTTCCTGAAAGAGATGCTTGGTCTTCCCTGCCTCTTGTGGTCTAAGTAGTCCTGCCAGGCACAGTCTGGAAGACCAGGGGGAGCCCCTATACCCTGGCCATTCTCTGGGCCCAGGGCTGCATAGTGAAAGACATAACTCTTATTACCTTTAAGACCACAGTCAAAGTGCATGGAGGTATAGTATCCTTCCGTGTCTACTGAAAAGTGAGAGCTAGTGTCCGCTTTGTCTGATGGAGACTTTTCCAGAAAGCTGTCATAAGTGGCCATGCTTGTAAAGCTTGGGCAGCCCAGGCTGTCTGCCTTGGGACGCTCAGGACTAAAATCCTGGTGGCAGGAGGCATCATGGTGGTGGTGTAGGTAATTCCACTCACTGTCACTTGTATTGCTGTTGTTGGGATCATCCAGCAGGTCTGCAACAGTGGAGGTAAAGGAGTTTGCCCGATGGCCTCTCACTTTATCCAAGTGGTCATTGTATTGCTCTGTCACAAAGACACTGGCATCCTCATTGGCATGAGGGGCTGTGTTTAGTGACAACTCCGAGTCACAGTGCGAAGAGCCAGTAAGTGGTGGAGAAGCTGCAGGAGGGATGGTTTCTGAGGTCTGGGAGGGGCATGTGGAGCTGCTTCCACTCCAGTTGCCACTGGATGACTGGTGGTCATCTTTCTGGTCCATGTGGCTGCTAAGGAGGACGCCAGCTGTGGAGATGCAATGGACGGGGCTCCCAAACGTGTCTGAGTTGGAGGAGATGTCACAGCTGCCAGAGTCAGCAGCCATTCGGGACAGTCGTGACCTTCCCCTCTCACTTAATTTGTGCTGGGGGCTGTGAAGATGTTGAGAGCAGGCCAGGCCCAAAGTGGGCTGGTGGTCCTGGGCGCTCGGGCTGCTTGGAGCCTCACTGCAATCATTAGGGGCTCTTTCATGGTCACCCGCAAAAGACTCTCCCTCTTCATATGTTGAGGGTTTGGCACCAACTTTGGGCTCAGCATCCCCACCTCTATTACCTTCCCGGGGAAGGCTCCGAGATCTTGTGCGGCTACTCACTGCAGGAGTAAACATGGTATCACCTTTGTCTGCTAGGGCAGAAATGTTGCCAGCAGAATGAGAAAGGGAAGCTGCAATGCTTTGACCCCTTTGAGCTCTGATTCTCCTTCTGGAAGGGGCAGCAATCAGAATATCCTCGGTTTGGCACTCAGAGTCCCTGGTTCCGGATCTCCTATTGACAGTGTTGGAGGGGTCTGGATTTGTGTGCACAATCACATTCCTTTCCCGGGCCACTGGTGATTCATCAGAATCTAGGGCACATGGAAAGCACAGTGAGATATTTTATATATCAGCAGACTAACAGATATTCTGAGCTATGTCTGCAGATCTGTGTACTGGTAGGTTAGAGTTATTTGTTTTTATTTAATTAATTAATTTATTTATTTATTTTATTTTTTGAGACAGAGTCTCCATCTGTTGCCAGGCGCCAGGCTGGAGTGCAGTGGTGCGATCTTGGCTCACTGCAACCTCCGTCTCCCGTGTTCAAGCAATTCTCCTGCCTCAGCCTCCTGAGTAGCTGGGACTACAGGTGCACACCACCACGCCCAGCTAATTTTTGTATTTTTAGTAGAGATGGGGTTTCACCATGTTGGCCAGGATGGTCTCGATCTCTTGACTTCGTGATCCACCCACCTTGGCCTCCCAAAGTGCTGGGATTACAGGTGTGAGCCACCGCACCCGGCCTATTTGTTTTTAAACAGAAAAAAAATCAATGTATATAATTAGGAGAAAGTTAAAATGCTTTAGGGTGTATATACATGCACCCCCTTCATATATGCTTATATATACCAAGAATAGATATGCTTTTATGTCTTTTGTGAATTATCCCTCTCTTCATTATCACATTAATTTGCCACAATAAGTGACTACTTTTTAAAACTAAAGTACATTTTATCTTTTTGGCCACTACTCTTCATTTTTATTTTGTAATATAAACATGATGAAATAAAAATCATAGATCTCATTATTAGAAATAAAAATCTTATTTACAAGAGATGCTACTCTAATAATTTTTCTAAAAACCATAGGCAGAGATATTCTAAACACACTGAACAGAAAAATTGTCACCAAAGGTATCATATTATCAATATTCAGTATTTCATTGCATATGCCTGAAATTTACCTTTGAAAATAATTAATGACATGAAAACATATCTCTCTTAAATTAAGTTACAATTTTCCAAAAAGAATGCTTTCATTGACTCCTGCTACTTTTTATTCACAATTTCTACCTTAATAAAACTTTCAAAAATCAGCTAAGTATTACATTTCAGCCATAAGACCTGAATGTATATGCCTAAATCTGTAAGGTCAAACCTTTACAGTCAAGAACAGAGAGTAAGAAAGTAATATCACCTGGCTTGCTGAATACAAAACAAATACACACCATTTTAAAACCTCTACAAGTTAAAATGTTTAATTGTTTTTCTATTTCATCTATTTATTCTATTTCATCTCCCTACCATCTGTACTAGGCAGAGGAATGTTAACCATTAACATTTTTTGATACCACACCTATTTCTTGTTGAACTCTTCTGGGGATACCCGAGATGGTTTTCCTCCTCCTCAATTTTCGTCTCCGCTGTAGTACTGATTGTGAATGAACCAGAGAGCAGCGTATACTAGCCTCTCTGTCAAAGCCAACTCCTGCAACCCACAAATAGGCCTCATTAGCCTTTAGAAATGGCAAACAAATTTTCATTTGCTTGGAACACAGTGGTATTTATTGACAGGAAGTAAGGAAAGAGTTTGGGATAAGCCTGTGAACGAATATAAGGGAACTGTTATTCAGCTCTTACTTAAATTATGCTGCAATACATTAAGCTTTACTTCTAAATGCAGTTCTCCACAACAGCTTGTACTGCCAACAAAAACAAGCAAAGAAGAAAAATCAAAAGAAAGAGAAGAGAAAAAGACATCAAAAAAATCCCTCTCACACAGAAATGACTCCTTAAGGATTTATAACCTTTAGTTACTACTATTTACTGGTCTATTTCTTGGCTCTCTGAACTTGATACCTCTGCATAGTAAATCAGGAGCCAATATGCTAACCTGAATTAGTTCAGCTAATATATCCTGACCCATTTATTCATTAAAAGCCTTCTTTGTGAGGTTTTGTTCCCTCCATTTCTTATGGCCCAAACCTTCTCACAATCCCCATGTATGCGCCGCATGCACACACACACACACACACACACACACACACACACACACACCTTTTTGCTGTGAGGAAACTCAACGGTCTAAGGATTTGTTTTTTTAAAATCATCACCGAACTCTTGTCTACTTTCTTCTGTTTACTAAATTGGATGCTTTCTGGTATAGCACGAGGTGTCTTTTCAATATAAAATAAACATGCAAGGCAGTCCCCAGTTCTGCACTTAAATGGATCCACTTTCTATACCAACTGTAAAGCTGGAATTCCCAGTCTTTATGCCATATGTTTGTTTTTGTAAACACAGAGGGCAAACCATGATGTTTGTTAGTTTCTCTCTCCATAATCACATTATCAACATTACATGCAGTTAGTCCCATCAAAACTAGAATGATGAGAGGGGAGGTGAGGAACTCAAATTCTTGTCTGAAACAGGCATGCACCATGGATTTTTCAGAGTGAGCTTTGCCTAAGAAAGCCACAATGCCATGCTTTGGAATTTGGTCACCTCATCATTTATCCTGATTGTTAAGCATGGGGCTGGGTGGTATGTCAAATCTTGGTTCAGCTCTATAATGAAAGAGTTGAGTTCTGTTTAACATCACAGTGCCAACAGTTTCTAGAACTCTCTCTGAAAAATCTGTATGAGATATCATATGATGAATAATTATGATATTATTGGAGAATTCTTACTAATGAAATTTTTCTTAGTTTCAACCCAAAATTAAAATCCTTCTTTCTAATCTTAGTAATTATAGAATGCATGATATATAGACACAGACATTTTGTGTTATGTGGACATCATTAACAGTGTTCTCATTAAAGCTCTTGAAATCAACATCTGATCTAAATTTTAATCAGAGAGTTCCTGAAATAAAGCAGAAGTAAAAAGTGTCCCTTTTCCTCAATCATAAAATAATGGTCCATAATCATAGCACTAAATTTGAAAACGAGATTTTACTTACAGTGCCATGAAAAAAGCACGTACTGCTAATAATCAGAGGTTTCCAGAACTGAAAATTAGCTTAAGAGGGTGCCAAAATGATCCATTTTGGCAGCTGAACTCCCCTAATACATTCCATTTAGATTGTATAGATCAGACAGGGGCACATCTTCAGAATAATTTATCTTACAAGTTGAATAGGTCATCAGGAAAATTAACTCCCAACTCACCACAGGCCCATGAACTAGGACTCCTTTTCCTCAGGAAAAAAATATCTGTCCCAGATATCTGGTCCATTTGCTTCACTACTTTATGTGAGAGAAATCTGAGTGGGGTTAATAATTGTTTATGCAACATGCATCTCGAGTGACATGCAATCTTTAGTTACATGGTACCAAGATGAAAATCAGTCATAACATGGCTGTTTTGAAATTTTCAATATACAAATGAGTTAAAATGTAACTATTATTAGAGATGTAAGAAAGCTCAATGGATAGACCATTTAATTTATGTCTTTGAAAGTTAAAATATTTTATAACACTATTTTACTTACAACTAAGATTATTAGATCCAATTCTGGAATTTACAACTGCTGCCAATAAATGTTTCAGAAAGGTCTAGCTATGCCTCCATTCTACCTAGACTAATATTCACACTCTCAGTACACAGAAGGAAGAAAAAAGAGAGTGAAAACAAGACAACCTTCTTGGTTTTAAAATAGAATTCAGCCTTCATCTATGTATCCATATATTTTTAGGTCAAAAATCCCCCAAATCAATACAGAAGTTGTAACAGTCTTTTTAAAAAGAGCCTACCTTCATCCAAGGAAGCATGAAAACAGATTTTCTAGTTGGCCTGCAGGACCATTACTTGCAGTTTGAGAAGCCTGGGTTTGCTGTTTTCTTTCTTGCAGTGCCACACATCATTATCATATGATTAATCACTGCTGCTTTCTCCATTATTTCAGTCAGCTATGGCCAAAGAGCTATTTGGTGATTTTTTTTTAAAAAGAAACTGTCCATCATTTACATAACAAGTGGCCCAGTGGAAAACATGTAAATTGATGTTCAAAACCTGACAAAAGCGTATTGAACATCTTCTGGGTTGTATTTTGATGAAAAAGGCATTACTTGTTTACAAATGGTATTCTTAGCAGCACAGATTTCGAACATATTTAATATACAGAATATTCTGACCCAACTGCCCCTAAGAAAAAAACCAGAACGATACCAGTGACATTGATGGGAATAATACAGGAAGAAATCACTTGGGCATCTTGTTTCATCTTCTCCTCTGGCGTTGGGAGAGGTAGTGCTTTGCTCCAGTTGGTCTGCTTGTCCAGTGTAGAAGGGATATTGTGTATTGGGTTTTTCGGCCTCTGCCCTAACATGACATCTGTATCTTCATCCTCTGGGGGATGGGACTGCAAACAAAGTACAGTCAGGTTCAGTCATCAAAGTTTATACATAAGCACACATATAAGAAATGTCTTAGTTTAGAGAAGAAAAAATGAGATCAGAAATAAGCCTTAAGGACAAAGGAAGAATTCCTAGAAATAGTAAGCCAATAAATTGAAAGTATTATTTCAATAGCCAAGCAACACAGAAGGAAAGAAATGGGCTAAATAAACATGCTTCTCAGGTTAAATGGAATTAACAGGAGAGACAAGGTAGCCAGAAATCCCCAAACTTTACACCAAAGAAAACTGAGTCTGTACTCCAATGAAAGACAGATCCACTTTCAAGCTATCTCACCATACATTTCTAGCAACAGTTTTGAGATCTCTAGATGACTAGGATCAAAGGAAGAAGATGAGTTAGATGCCCATGAAAAGGTTCAGAAAACCTGGAATCAGGAGACATTCCAGAACACATCACCTGAAGGACAAGCCAACCTAATCTGAGAAGCTGCATTAAAACATGAGGAGTTAATTTCACTGCAGGACTACGGCATTTTTGAATAACATTTTAAAGATTCAGTTTCACGAACACTGTATGCACGTAGAAAAGCAAAAAAGAATTCCCACCCCCCCACCAAGGATAGTGGAAAATACACATGCTGTTACTTCCACTAATGGGGGAGGGGGGCGATTCCAGTGAGTTTCTTTGTCTTTTTTTTTTTTGAGACGGAGTTTCACTCTTGTTACCCAGGCTGGAGTGCAATGGCGCGATCTCGGCTCACCGCAACCTCCACCTCCTGGGTTCAGGCAATTCTCCTGCCTCAACCTCCTGAGTGGCTGGGATTACAGGCACTCGCCACCACGCCCAGCTAATTTTTGTATTTTTAGTAGAGATGGGGTTTCACCATGTTGACCAGGATGGTCTCGATCTCTTGACCTCGTGATCCACCCGCCTCGGCCTCCCAAAGTGCTGGGATTACAGGCTTGAGCCACCGCGCCCAGCCGAGTTTCTTTTTCAAATTAGGAAAGGTAAAACACTCCTAGTTTATTTTCTTTCATTTTTGTGGTGTGAGACTTTTCCTCCAGCTGTGTAGTTAGGGGCTTTGATTTCCACATGACATTGGAAAATTATCCATCCAAACCTTTGATAAATATCAATATTGTCTAACTTTTATTTCAGGGTTGGGCTCCTAGCCCAGATTATTTAAAAGGCTCCATCCCAGTTTTGATTTTGGGGTTGGGTTTCTAAACTAGATGATTAAAAGAATCAGTTTTCACCACTCAACCTCGTTTGATTTTTTTTTACACAATTTGGAGGAAGGTGGGTATCTGTATAAAATAAATACCCGTTGCTCTTATCCCAGTAAGACTTTAATAATATTCTGCCCTAAAATTAGGATCATTAAAAAAAAAATTTCCCATCTTTGCATTTGGAAACATCTGCCCTGCTGACTCAGAGGATTTCACCTATTGTCAAATGAACTGTTCTCAAGTCCCCTTAAAGAGCTGATTCCAGAGCCATTTGTCTAAGCTCACCCCCGGCATTTACTTACCTTGTCAGAGGTTTCTGCAATTCCCCCTAACACACCCAACAGGATATGACTACCCGCTTGGGAAAAATGTGTTCGCCATGAACGTTTTAGTAAAATATTGCAAGCTTCTTTCTCTCTTCAGCTTTTGTGCAGATTCCCAGCGAAGTGAATAGCTCAAATAAAGTTCGAGAACAAAAGACTTTGTTTCCTAGGTAACTTCCAAAAAGAAAAAAAGTTTGGTGCATGCAGAGAGAGAGAGAGAGAGAGAGAGAGAGAGAGAGAGAGAAACTGATTGAAAGAGAGAGAAAGAGGGAGACACTGAGAGAGAATGAGCACTTGAGAGAAACCCCCACCACCAGAGGTTTCATTTTGTAGGCGAGTCCTTCCTTGAATAACAATGGACTGCAAAGTGACGAAAGGATAGTGACTTGACTACAGGCTCTGAACAGCAGCCAAAAGCACTATTTATTTAATGGTGACAGGGATGATCAGCTGGCAGCGAATCCTTTTGTCTTGTTCTCCTTTTTTCATTTGAGAAGCTGAACATTTACAGTTCTGAGAAATTAAATATAGGACAAGTTGAATTTCTTTCCTCTGCTGGACTGTGAAGTCCAAGAGTGGTGTTAGGTGATGCAGTTTGCAGAGTTGGGGGCAGTGAATGGGGAAAAACAGCAAATGGCATGGCTGTCTAAGTTATATTCTACTTAATTCAAGTTAGGAAAATACCACTTTTAAAATTAATTTTAAAGAATAACCGTTAGTTAGAAACAAGGAAGTTTTCCATAAAGTTCAAAGAGGAAAGAAAGGAGAATGTCTGGACAGAATGGGATAGGGCCGTGAAGGAATGTTCTTAGAACCAATACCTTTCTACTCCATGGGGTCATGTGGCAACACTCAGTGGGGGAGGGCGAACGGGTGCTGTTAAACTATGAACGTGAAATGCAAAAAAAAGAAAAAATTAAAAACGTGCACACAACACACAGTGTATACTGGTTAGGCCAAATCTATGATACTAATGGAAGAATATACTATGATTCCTTCCTTCCTTCCTTCCTTCCTTCCTTCCTTCCTTCCTTCCTTCCTTCCTTCCTTCCCTCCCTCCTTCCTTCATTTCCTCCCTCCCTCCCTCCCTTCCTTCCTTCCTTTCTCTCCTTCCTTCCTGTCTCTCCTTCCTTACTCCCTCCCTCCCTTTCTTCCTTCCTTCCTCCTTCCCTCCCTCCCTCCTTCCCTTCCTTCTTTCCTCCTTCCCTCCCTCCCTCCCTTTCTTCTTTCCTCCTTCCCTCCCTCCCTCCCTTCCTTCCTTCTTCCTTCCCTCCCTCCCTTCCTCCCTCCTGTCTTCTCTTCCTTCCTTCTTCTCCTTCCTTTCTTCCTTCCTCTCCTTTTTTCCTTCCTCTCTTTCCTTCCTTCCCTCCTGTCCTTCCTTCCTTTCTCTTCTCCCTCCCTCCCTTCCTTCCTTTTTCTCCTCCCTCCCTTCCTTCTTTTCTCCCTTCCCTCCATCCTCCTTTCTTCTTTCCTTCCCTCCTTCCTTCCTCCCTTCTTACTTCCCTTCCTCCCTTCCCTCCCTCCTTCCTTCTTCATTCATTCCTTCCCTTCCTTCTTCCTTCCCTTTCTTGTTCCTTCCTTCTCCTTCCTTCCTTCTTTACTACTTCCTTTCTTTTTTCTCCCTCCCTCCCTTCCTCCCTTCCTCCCTTCCTTCCTCCTTCCTTCCCTCTTACTTTCCTTCCTTTCTTCCTTCCTTCTTCTTCCCTCCTTCTTCCTTCCTTCTTACTTCCCTCCCCTCTTCCCTCCTTCCCTTCTCCCTCCCTCCCTTCCTTCCTCCCTCCTTTCTTTCTTCCTGCTTTCCTTCCCTCTCTTCCTTCCTCTCTTCCTTCACCCCTCCCTCCTTTCTTCCCTTCCTTCCTCCCACTCTTCCTTCCTTTCTTCCTTCCCCTCTCCCTCCTTCCTTCCCTTCCTTCTTATTTTTTCAGAGGTAGCATAAATGGTGACAAGAGCACAGACTCTGGAGCTAGACTGTCTGAATTCAAATCCTGGCTCCACCACTTATTTTCTTTGGCCAGGGGCAATTCCTCAACCTCTTTAAGGTTAGTTTCCTCATCTGTAGTAAGACAGATAAATAATAGCATTTTCCCTCCAGGGCTGTTTTGAGGATTAAATGAGTAAAGTATATGTAATATACTTAGAAGAATCCTGGCACTTAATAAGTTCTATACATTAGTGCCAGCTACTACTACTACAACTATTATTATTATTAATGTACTTACCTTGTAGCTGTGAAATACCTGTGAAAATGTCTTTGCAAACTGTAACTTTGTTATCTTTTAGATTTCAACCCCACTTGCTAATTTGGAAAAGATTGAATTATTTGCTTTCATTCAAGTGATTTTGTTTTCCTATGAACTACTTGGAAGAAAATTATCTACATATAATTTCCTTCTCCAGACTTGCTTAAAATTTGCTTCTTTCTCCTATTCATTGACCACACTTGGAGACAAGGCTGGTTTCATGAGTGTGTGATCTGTGCAGCAGTCCCACAGGGCCCTCCACTCAGAAGGCCCCATACTTGGTTTCAGGCTGTGCTATCATTGTCTTGAAATTCTTGAGTAAAAGATTCTTCATTTGCATTTTGCACTGGATCCCACAAATTATATAGCCAGTCCTATTTGGAGAATTATCTGGTAACAAGATAATTCCCCTCTTTCGGATCTACTGAGAAGGTCATGAAACTTTTTAAACTCCAAGCCATATCAGCTTTAGATTCTGCTGTGCCTCTGTTATAGCACTTATCCTACAGCATGGCTTTAATGGAACAGGAATTGGCCCTAGATGTATCTTTTTCATTTGTTAGATTGTGAATTCCTGGAGGTCAGGGGCCACATTTGATTTTCCTTTCAGTCTTCCATGATGCCAGCAATGTACCACCCTCACTGTAAGAACTCATCAAAATATTTGTACACCTGAATGATATTGGCTCTATGTGTTTTAGCAGTGATGGGAACCCCAGAGAAAGTGAGGGGCAGCCGGGCACAGTGGCCCATGCCTGTAATCCCAGCATTTTGGGAGCCTGAGGCAGGCAGATCCCCTGAGGTTAGGAGTTCAAGACCAGCTGGCCAACATGATGTAACCTTGTCTCTACTAAAAGTAGAAAATTAGCTGGGCATGATGGCGCATGCCTGTAATCCCAGCTACTCAGGAGGCTGAGACAGGAGAATTGCTTGAACCTGGGAGGCAGAGCTTGCAGTGAGCGGAGATTGCACCACTGCACTCCAGCCTGGGTGACAGAGCAAAGTGGGGGCATGCTCAAGATCTCAGGAGGAAGCAAATTCCACAAAATCCAAGGGACTTACCATCTTCATGCAAATAGGTGAAAACAAGTAGAGGAAACTGCAAGTACCCAGTTATTCTTAAGCCCATGGCAGACGTGTTTTGTGGGTAACACTTAGTGTCTAATTCTATTCTATTTTTCTAAGTTTTAACTGAAAGGGTTGCTCATTAACATTTAAGCAGAGCAAATGTCTTCTCCCCAGGCCCAGTTAACTTTGATCTAGATCTTATTTAAGACTAATGATTTTGTAGGGTCTATGGCTCCCTCGCTGAAAGTGACCATTTTGACAGATGTGGTATATGTGGTCCGAGTTCAGACATTAACCTGGTTCTCTCCTAAAACTCAGCCACAGGCAATGATGTGGAAGTCTCAAGTAAGAAACCAGGGTGTGTAAATGAGTGAGAAAACTCATATAAGTAAAAAAAAAAAAAAAAAAAAAAAAAAAAAAAAAAAAAAAAAAAAAAAAGGAGCCTGATAGCAAAGCCTATATGGAAAAGGAAGCTACTTCAAAGAAACCAAAAGCTTTGGTGTCTCATGAAAGTATTTTCAAAAAATTACATAGTCAGAAACTGCAGGCCAGCAAACATATTAATGATATTAACGTTAATATATAAATTATGGTAGTTTGTCTTAAGTCTCCTAAGTCAGCTCTCCTGTTGAATACTTTTTTCCAGGAGTGAGGGGTAAGGAGTGGACTTCATTTTTCATCTGTTTGAGAAACCCACCCACCCCATTAAATAACCATGAGGTCACACCCGACAATGACTAAGGATGGCAAGTTGAGAGAAAGCACAGACTTTTCAGTTGTGGTCATTGTGATGGAGAGTTAAGGTCTCCTTGGGAATCCATAGCAGATTCATCCTCAGCTAATTGGTCTTTCCACTATTTTGATAGTAGCTCCAACCTTCAGCTTGTAAGGGCTGGAACTAGGTACTCTGGAGGTAGAGTGTGGAAGGATTGTGTTCTTTGGTTCCTCTACTTAAACACAAACACTACAGTCCCTGCAGATCGTCTAAAGATTTAGAGCATTTAGGTTTATAATATTAAAATGAGCTATAAGTATATAAATATACAGTTATATTTCTGCCATGAATTAGTAATTGCCTTAGTCTAGTATTTTAAAGGGTCCTCCACAGAGAGGGGAACAATACACACTGGGTTCTATTTGAGGGTGAGGGTGGGAAAAGGGAGAAGATCAGGAAACTTAACTAATGGGTACTAGGCTTCATACCTGGGTGATGAAATAATCTGTACAACAAACCCCCATGACAAACTGCACATGTACCCCTGAACTTAAAATAAAAGTTAAATAAAATTTAAAAAGAACTAAATGTAGAACTACCGTTTGATCTAGCAATCCCACTACTGGGAATCTACCCAAAGGAAACGAAGTCATATATGAAAAAGACACTTGTACATGCATGTTTATAGCAGCATAATTTGCAATTGCAAAAATATGGAACCAATCTAAATGCTCATCAACCAACGAGTGGATAAAGAAAATGTGGTATATCATGGAATACTACTTAGTCATTAAACGGAATTAAATAATGTCCTTTGCAGCAACTTGGATGGAACTGGAGGCCATTATTCTAAGTGAAGTAACTCAGGAATGGAATACCAGACACCGTATGTTCTAACTTATAAATGGGAGCTAAGCTCTGAAGACACAAAGACATATAGAGTGATATAATGGACTTCAGGGACTTGGGGCAGGGGACTTTGGGAGCAGGGTGAGGGATAAAAGACTATATATTGGGTAACAGTGCATGCTGCTCAGGTGAATGGGTGCACTAAAATTACAAAATTCACCACTAAAGAACTCACTCATGTAATTAAAAAAAAACCACCTGTACCTAAAAACTATTGAAACTCTTTTAAAAAAAACTTAAAAATAAAATAAAGCATCCTCTTTCCTGGGTGTTTAGTCAAAAGAAGATTGTTCTGAATATTTCTGATTTTATTTTTATATGATGAATGCAATAATCAGTTCATAGTATATATTTTTTCTAAATTATCTAAGAAATACAACTGCAAGAGAACTGTCACCTCAGGGCATCTCTGCATGGCTCAGCCTGCCACGCCTTAATGGGTGCTGATGGCTAAGGTTAGGGAAAACTGGATGCTGATCAAACTTATATGAACTAAATTATTCTTCCACAACTATTTAAATGAATTCTGTTGCTTATTCAGAGAAAGACTAACCATTTCTTGTTCATAACGTAGTTTTACTGCCTCAACAGCACTCAATAAATATGTGTTGTACATCTAACATGCTCATGTGCCTGGCATAAATAAACAAAAATCCTCTTCTAGAGAAATAACATCAAATTATTTCCACCCACATATAATTTTTCAGTACAACATCCAGTGCAAGGTCAAAGACAGCAAAGCACAGGAGGATATAAGACAGCATGAGCAGGAAGCATTCAAAACAACAGATAATGGAAGCAGATCCACAGGGGACTCCTGATTGTGGAATCATCACTCAGTACAAGAGTGGCAGTGAACAACCTTGGTTTCCCCAGAACAAGTGTTAGGCATTCATTCATTCATTTATTCATTCATTCATTCAATATCATTTATTTGATGTGGGCCAAAATT